TAATAAGGACCCAAAAAAGGACCATACTTTTGACAACCACCCAAAAGGGTTTACGATGTTCGACTTAGGGCTGGGGTGAGGATTTAGGGTTTAGGGTTTGGGGTTTGGGGTTTTCCTAAACCCTAAACCCTACACCCTAAAGCCTGAACCCTAAACCCTAAACCCTGAACCCTGAACCCTAAACCCCAAAACCCTGAGCATCCTGACGGGCTAGCTGCAGTCCGCAGAAGCTCATGCGGTATCGCCTGGTCTAGGGCCAGGGACGGAGTCATCCCTCGCCAGGTCGTCTGCAAAAGTGCGCTCTTGGTCATGCAGACCTTCAAACCCCTAATCCCTAACCCCGAAACCCTAAACCCTAAACCCTAAAACCCTGAACCTCTCGGATGAAAGCCGCCCGAGCCAGGACCGTAGATTCGAAGGCTTAAGCCAATCGCTGAGAAGGCACCGTGGCTCTTAGAATGCAGATGCCCCAAGGCGCTGCACATCTACTATACGGCACTATACTGAAGTTCCTTTTAAGGGTACTGCAGGCTTCTATTAGTCCGGTTCCCTTTTCGGGGTACTCTAGGGCTCTGTGATAAAGTTCCTTTAAGAGCACTCTAGGGTTCTATACCCACGGCTCCCTTTAAGGGTGCTATCGGGTTCCACAATAGGGTGCCCCAAGGCGCCACCTGCATGCTGCAAGAGAAGCAATGGCCACGAATATCATCAGCCAACATCGTGAAAACAGGGTGCAATGAGCCCCGTCCTCAATCCTAAACCCTAAACCCTGAACCCTAAGTCTTCAAAGCCTAAACCCTAGTCTTCATATCCTAAACCAAAGATGCTGAACCCAAAACGGTAAAGTCGACCCTGAAACCCTGTTATCCCTAAAGCCCTAAATCCTGAACCCTAAACTCAACCCTGAAACACTAAATCCAAAAGTCGCTCCTAAAGCCCTAAAGCCCTGAACCTAAACCCTAAACCCTAAACCCTAAACCCTAAACTCTAGAGCCCTAAACCCAAATGAGCGAAGTTCTCTAAATGAGGGTCCTTTTTGGGGTCCTTTTTTATAAGGGTGCCGTACTATATTGGGGACCCAAAAAAACCCTAAACCCTAAACCCTAGACCCTAAACCCTAAAGGACCCTAATTTAGAAAACTACCCATATCCACTCCGGGATCGGATTGGAGGCAAAAGTCTTTAGGGTTCTGGTCCAGAGTTGACAGGCCTGGGCGTTCAGGTTTAGGATTTAAGGTTTAGGGTTTAGGGTTTAGGGTTTAGGGGGCCTAGGATTTCGGGTTTAGGGTTTAGGATTCCGAATCGGTTTAGGGTTTAGGGTTTAGGGTTTACGATGTCGGGTTGAGGGTTGAAGGTTTAGGATTTCGGGTTTAGAATTTAAGGAAGAGGGTTTGTGGTTTGATAGGGTTTCTGGCCATGGTCTCTCTCACCCCACTACGCCTTGGCAGTCAAAATCCTGTTGATGTAAGAGTCGGCATCCTGCAAAAGAACACCGGTACGGTTTCGGGGTGCAAAATTTGGGGGCAAGGGCTTTGAGTTCAAGAGCTTCGGGTGTGGGGTTTAGGCTATGGGGCATACGGTTTAGGGTTTAGGGATAAGAACCCAGACCCGAACAATTTGGTTCGGCCCCTCTTTTTCGGGGCCTTTTTGGACACCTTTCTATAAATTCCGATGGGGGTTTGGGGTATAAGGTTCTTATTATAAACCCCAATATGGGATTTATAAGGACCCTATAAAAAAGTAGGTTTGGGAATCTTGAGGTAGGGCTCTGGGCTTGAAGCTCTCATGTTTGCATGGGAGTCCTTGCATCCTCGCGCCCTACCCAACACAAACTAAAGAAGAAAGGCGCCCCCGAAAGCCAGTCTGCCAAAGAAGCCCGAGGCCCGAAAGATTCCGGGCAAAGCTGTATCCCTAAACCCTAAACCCTAAACCCTAAACCCTAAACCCTAAACCCTAAACCCTGAACCTTAAACAGCCGAACACCTCAAGCCGGAAACGCTGAGAAAGCCCTACCCAGACACCCCTTGACCCCGAAGCCGCAAGCCCTTAACCCCAACCCAACATGCATAGACTCGACCAACAACCTCAAACCCCCAAATGAAGAAGACCTCCAAACGAACAAAGCTGTAGATATCTACACACGAATGTTCGTTCATATTCTAATGTTTATATATATATATATGTATATATATATATATCCAGGGCTGGCTATATTTATATCTGCTTTGCATCTACACTTACATCTGTAGGCATGTAAGTATTCAGGCATGCACGTATGTATGCATGTACGTATGTAAGTATATATGTAAGTAAGTATGTATGTATGTAGGTCCGCGTGTATGTGTGTATGTATGTATGTATGTATGTATGTATGTATGTATGTATGTAGGTAGGTATGTATGCATGTATGTAGGTATGTATGTATGTATGTAGGTATGTATGTATGTGTGGGTTTCTGTATGTATGTATGTATGCATGCAAGGATGGATGGATGAGTGGATGTGTATGTATGCATGCATGTATGTATGCATGCATACCTATACATGCGCTTATACATGTACATATACATATCATATCCGTCCATATATATTATACACTCATTTGTCCGTTAGTCTGCCTGTTGATTTGCCAGTTTATCTACTTGCCTGTTTGTGTTTTCTCTAGCTTTTATCATTATCTGTAGCTATGTACTTCATCTGTATTTATACGTATGTATACACATATATATAGAGAGAGAGAGAGAAAGAGAGAGATGTGTATCTATATATATATATATATATATATATGTTCACCATTCATTCAGTAATTTTCTTGAGTCATGTCTTTAAACATATACTTTTTGCTGCTGCGGTTTGTCATAGTTCATGCTAATCATTATTGTTGGTTTGTTCATTACTTACCGATGTACTTGTGCACATGTTTATGTCGTTATGGATTTGCTTGCTCTTCTATTTGCATTTATTTCCATATGTATTCGTATTCATATTCATATTTGTATCCGAACGCATATCTGTAGTTCTACTCGTTTCTGTATTTAGGCAATACATACATACATATATTTATTTATTGATTTATATATATATATATACATAGTACACATAAACGCACAGGGCCAACACAAAGGGAAGTCTCCCAAATGCTCACAGCGTGTCCGAGGCAAAGCTCCGCAGCGCCCCGGAGCCGGCTGGAACGCGGCCGCAGGCCGAAACGAGAGGCCGGAGAGCAGCCATCAGCTTGGGAGCTGCTCTCCTAAACCCTAAACCCTAAACCCTAAACCCTAAACCCTACACCCCTAAACCCCTAACCCCTAAACCCTAAACCCTAAACTCTGAACCCCTAAGCCCTAAACCTCTCTTGTTAATTACAAGGCCACAAACAAGCAAAGGAGAGAGTCTGAAAGAAAGCTTGGGGCTGATGGCTTAAGAGTTTAGGAAAGGTTGAGGGTTTTGGATATGTTGGGGTGATCGGTCATTTTTGGCTTTTGCACTGCTTCTCTCTGTTTCTAAGCACCGTGCTTGGCAGAGCACGGTCCTCGTGTGCTGGCTCTTGGGTGGTGCGGTCCATGGCATGTTCAGCATGCGTCTGGCAATGGCCAGAATTCGGCTCTTGGGTTCATTTTCAAGACTTGGGACTTGAAGCCAAAGGCGATTCAGACATGTCTCCAAGGTTGGGTCCAGTTTTAAGATAGTACGGCGCCCTTCTGAAAAGGACCCTACAAGGACACTGATTTAGAGGGCTACGCAAACAGAACCCTTCTGATAGCACCCTTATAGCAGCCCCTACGAGAACCCTTATAGATCCCTAAAGGAGCCCTGAAAAGGGGGCCCCAAATTGAGAGAGCTACCCTCATTGTACGCTAAAAGTATCCTTATAGAAACCCCTAGAGGAACCCTTATAGATCCCTAAAGGAGCCCTAAAAGGGACCCTAATTTACAGAAACCCCAAACCCTGAACCCT